CTTTTGCTCCTTGTTGGTATTTTCATATGTTTCAGATTAACCGCCACCCCTCCCTGCCCCATGTTCGCCCTTCATTTCCTCGTCAAACATCTTTAAAGGGAAAATACTCTTCTCAATGTGTAATCTTTTTCGTAATATGAATGTGTAGATGGAACTTTGGTGTCCTGTCAATGGTTGGCTTTACGGCCACTGTAAGCATACTGACCGTACTTATCAGAAAAGACAATAGTTTTGCATGAATTTATGTCCTGTATCCCCCTGTGCGTCACTAAGTAGGTCCCAATTTGAAGTTTGACTTTTATGCTGACAGTTTCCTCTAATGATTTAGTAGATGTTTAAGCTAACATTTTCCTAAAGAAATGCCAATGTGGATGCACCTTTCTTTGCATCTTCTAAAGTAGCACTTGAAGCAGGATTCGACTATCGATTTTAAATCTTTTCATTTTGTAGAACTCTACCCCAGATGCTCCAAAGTATACCCCACCGGTGGAGAAGCCAATGAAAACACCAAAATCTTCTTCAGCAGCATATGCCTCATCATCATCTGACCGCCCATATAGCTGTCCGTACGAAGGGTGTGACAAATCTTACATCCATGAATACAAGCTGAATCTTCATTTAAGGAACATGCACCCTGGTCATTTTCCAGAGGATAATGCCAAAAATGCTCAATCTAATGCTGACAATGAGATGGATGAAGGCAGTGATCAAGATGCATATGCTGCAAAACGTGGAAACGGAAAAATTCAGAAACAGAGCAGGCCAAAACCAAGCTTAAAGCAGCCAGCTTTAAAAGTTGCACGCAAAAGCTCTAGTGCTTCTCCAGCCAATATCAGTATAGCAGCGAAGAAGCCCTGGTCGGTTAAAGAAGAGAACTACCATGAAGAAGATAGTGAAGAAACAGAAGAGGAGCGGGATGATGTTGGGGACGGATGGAGGTACGGTGAAAACGATGACGACGACGACGAAGAGACTGAAGAAGATGAGTAGAGGCTCATTGATAGGTACTTCTGGGATAAATGGTTGTCACCGTCTAGAAAATGGGATGAGACCTTGTTATTACTGTACAATCCCTTTTGAGTTTTATGACGCATGAGGTTTCGGTATTTCCCACACCCTACCCTCTCTAATCCTCTCTCTCTCAGCATAGTACACACCGTGGAACTTGGAGCTTTTCGTTATTGTTCAAGCTTCTTATTCATTCAATTGAAATATCCTATTTTATTACGTACAAATTTGACCATATCGAGGACTTCAGATCCATAAATTGTCATACAGTAATTCTAACAATACAAAGTATTCTTAAAATTCAATGTACATTTGAAGATGGTCAAAATGTAGTTTAGACATTATCAATGAAAGTTGCACCTAATGTCAATTTAGAAATAATAGTTAGAAAAGTGGTCATAAATACACATTTCAATAGCTGTAAATGCTGTGTACTAATTTGGCTACCAGTATTCGCAAATATTGAAAATTGACGAAATTTTAAAAATAGTCAGATGGAATAATGATTTTTTTTCAATAAACTGAAATTTATATGCAAACATACTGGAGTACTAGTTTTAGTGTACGTGCATTACACGTGTGCATCACGTTAATCAGTGTAAATGTATACAAGAAGAAGAAATTGTTGAAAATAACAATTGATAAATCAAATATTAGTTTAAATCATAAAAATAAGAATCATTAAATTGACACAATAATTGTGAATTTAATATCTTCTGAATATGTAAAGATGATGAATTTAATTGAATTAGCTGTATAACATTTTGTGGTTAATAGATATTTTATTATTTAAAATACAAATATATTATGTTATTATATCTCATCTAACATCTCTTTAAAAACTCTATATTTATAATATTATTATACAAAAAATAATTTTTTATTAAATAAAAGAGAGTGCACAGTCTTTCAGTAGATACAAAATGGAGTATAAAAATTTTATGCGAATTATTACATGAATCAATCTGTTTTTTATTTTTCTGGAGAATAAAATGATAGAATCTAATTTTAAAATAAATATTATATGTTAAAAATATAAAGTTAAGCTACTTTTATAACAAAAGAGACAAAGTTTAAAAAGCGCTCTGAATTTTTCGTTGTTTCTTTTTTTCTTTTCTCGGGTTGGAGTCTAATATTAAAACCTTTCTGTTTGATAGTTAATGTCTTTTTAAGCATGGTGATGGAATTTGTTCTTTGTAACCTAATTATATAAGTTTTTTTTTTTTTTTTAATCAAAGTTCATTAAAATTATATGTAAGTTAAGTGGACCTCTTCTTGTAAAAATAAAATAAAAACTTTGTAGTTATTTTAACGTTCCAAATATATAAGTTTATCAAAATATTAAAATAATAATTGTAGTTATAATATTAAATAGTATGGTTGTAGCTCGATTTATTTTTAAAATTAATATTATCATGTTAATTTAAACTTATAGAAATTTATACTTAGAATTAAAATTAACTCGTAAAAAGTCAAAACGAAAAAGAACATGCATTGATGATTTCCAATAATTTTTAGGTATTCTATTATAAGTAATATTTGGGGAAAGAATCTAAGAACATGAAAAATTTTAAGTGCCACGTATTAAATTCCAAAAAAAATTAAGTCCATGCATAAGGACATAAAAGTTGGTCAAATAAGGAAAAATATTATATAAAACAAAATTTATATTAAATTTAAAGTCCTGAATATTAAGAATTTTTACATGATCCAAATAAGAAAAAATTTAATAAGTAAAATATTAGTTGATTTTTAAGTACTAAATATTGAAAAAATAATCAAATGACTATTATACATGTACATGACCGCTTCCTAAAATGGTTTTCTTAAAGTCAGTCTCACGCTTTGAGTGACAATATTAGACCCAGCACGAAACTCGCTTCCCTCTTCTTCATCAGTCCGTCACTATACACCACAAAGAGGAATTAAGAAAAAACTAAGTAGAATTTGCACAAAAGAGTTTGATTTTTAAACACCACCTTCGGGCAGGTATAAATCCACTGTAAAATCTCTGTTCTTTCTATTTTCACTCCTCTGTTACTTTTATTGCTAAGATTCTTGATGACCCTTTTCGAATTTTTGATAAAAAGCTTAGGTTTGAGAATGAATAAAGGAGGGGTTGGTGGTGGAAGTGGTGGAGGGGGCGGACCTACTGCCGCGGCGGCGGCGGCCGCAGCTCAAAAGCAGAAAAGCTTGCTTCAGAGAGTGGATGCTGATATTGGCAATATTGTTGACAATTTTAGCTTCCTTGTTAACGTTGCACGGGTACATATCTCCATTTCCTTCACCTTCTCCCTTTTCACATGTATACACACTGAAAAACAGATCCAAGATTTTTAAACCAGCGGGGGTACCAAATAGAGATAGCCCATTATCCCAATGTGACAATGGGTGTAGGTTTTTTCAACTGTTTATATTCTGAGTTTATGGCCTAAAATCTGTACCATCACTGTATACTCATGGTCTAAAATTAACCTCAGGTTGGAATACACACACCCAAAATTGGAAGATATAGATCAAGAATCTATTACTAACATATATATGAATCTCAATCCTGGAAATATAGCACCCCACTTTCCTTTACTACCCTGGACTTCGATACATTTAGAAATAATGAAGAATAATTAAGTTTTTAGCATTAGAATTTCACACTTGTACAAGTCCGTTCGTCGGGGGACAAAGGCAAAAACAAGACTTTTTTCCTAATGGAGGGATAATATTAGACCAAAAGTTTAACGGAAGGCAAAGTTTCTCTTTCGAATAGTACAGTAGCAAATTTGATCCTTTCCTTTCTTATTATTACTTCCTTGCAGAATCTTAAATAGATGTTCGCCCGAAGAAAAGTCAAATGATTTTTAAAATTTGTTCTTTTTTAGATATGATCTTCGTGAACGATTAATGGGTTAACCTTTGAGATGGTATGGATTGGAGAAAAGGAAAAAAGTGTACAGCAATTTCCGTCTTGAACACTTCTTTTGCTGCTTATTTGTTAGATTGCGGCTCTAGATGCCATTATGCTAGATTCAAACTGTTAAAGTGAAATTAGGAGATATATTTGTTTATCTTCTTGCAGATGATTAATGCATTTGTTTTTCACTTGATGACAACTGCTTATAATAGGTCAATGATCCACCTGTCAGAAACTCGCAAGAAGCATTTATGATGGAGATGCGTGCATCTCGAATGGTGAGGATTTTTTCTTCTCAGTTGTACATAGCTCTGATGTTCAATGAGATGTACATCTCAAATTACATGTGAATGTGCATATAAAAAGAATACACTTTGTATTAGCAAATCGACAATATTCATTGCAGGAAAAGTGGCCTACTGACCTGAATTTACATATTGCAAAAACTTTATCTTTTGGTGCTCTTTTATTGAAATATGGCTGAACAGCGGAAACAAAGGCCATCACCATGTTAAAATGGTTCTGTGATTTATGGTGTTTTACTCATTATCCACTTCTTGTTATACCACATATACTTAGAATTCTCAAACTGGCAAAGAACCTAGGTCTTTGTGTTTTTTAAACGGAATCTCCACTTTTGAGTAAAGAATTTAGGTTAAAGTCTCTCTGTCTCTTCTCAATTCTCATAGCTTCGGTGCATTTTTTGTGAGTGCTAGTCAGCTATCATCATTGAACAGCTTGTTCTCCTCTACGTTTCTGCATCAAGTAAGACTTGATGTGGTTTTATCCTTTTTGAGTTGATGCAAAGACCAAATTCACCAAGATGCATAGATTTTAATCTATTGAATTATGCTCCTCTTTCATTACTGTCTCTGTTGCTTTAATGCTGCGACTATGTTGGCTTGAGTCGGGGGTCTATCGGAAATAGCCTCTCTACCTGCACAAGGTAGGGGTAAGATTGCGTACACACTACCCTCCCCAGACCCCACTTGTGGGATTACAGTGGGTTTGTTGTTGAATTATGCTTGAATCAAAGCTGCTTTCAAAAACAGTATTATCCTATTCTTATATGCCTTTTTCTATCTCATATAGTAATTGTATTGGATGCGTAAACAACAGGTCCAAGCAGCTGACACACTGCTTAAGTTGGTGTCAGAGTTGAAGCAAACAGCTATATTTTCAGGATTTGCATCTCTAAATGATCATGTGGAGCAGAGAACAGAAGAATTTACTGAACAGGTTGAGAAAACAGAATGCATGTTATCTAGAATTGGAGAGGAAGCAGCTGCTAGCCTTAAGGAGCTTGAATCACATTATTATTCTTCTGCAGAAAGAACCAGTAGTCTGCCTTCTTACAGCCAAGAAACAATGCCCTGAAAATGGCTCTACCACCATTTATACTTTCCCTTCGATCTGTCCTTTCTCTATTTCCGCTCCCGCTCTATCGGCTGGGGATAATGTGGCAAGAACTTCAGCTGTTGGCCCCCGTCCTCTTGCTAAGTATATTTGTCTTCCTTGAAGGTGTACGTACCATGAGGTTATTGGACAAACGATCTCTAATGATGAGAAATTCAGTTTGTTTCCAACTTACTATTACTCCAAAACCTTTCAGTTGTATTTGTTATTATCCGTCGACTGCATTCTATTCTAAGGAAAATTAGGGGTACCAATTATAGTGGAGGGAGCATAGTTCAAACTTTTACAGCTACTCTTTTGCCTCTAGGCTTCTACATAAAGTAAATCCAAAGATAGGTATTAGTTATCCCAGGATTGTTATCCCACCTTCTTATAGGGATAAAAATAATACTAAATTATGGTATAATTGATTTCATAATTAGTTATACAACTATTTTGCCTCTATGTCTTTTAAAGGCAGGGTACACTTTACGCTCCCCGACCCTACTTGTGGGAATACACCGGATATGTTGTTATAGTTATACTGTTATTTTATCTCAATCAAATGTGGGATCAACTCATTTCAAATTTAATTTCGAGATTAATTATCCCTTATTTTTTGTACCAGACGAGCCCTTAGAGAATCTCTTTTTTGCCTTACCTCAAACCGGAGAACTCTTCCCTTCAAAGATGATTGTTACCTCCGGTCAGAGGCTGAGCCTCTCCGCCTCTTTTTTGCCCTAACAAGCAAGCCGGAGAACTCTTCCCTTCAAAGATGATTGTTTAACCTCCGGTCAGATGCGGAGCCTCTGCCTCTGTGCCTATTACGGGTTCGGATGAACCTAGTAGCTTTGATTCAAATTATGTATTTGTCCTAAAATAATTATTAAATATATATAAATTATTAATTTAGAACCCAATAACTTAAAAGAATTAGAATTCCGAACCTATAAACTTGAAATATTAGCTCCGCTTCTGCCGCCAATATTGCACTTCGTTGTGGTAATTACATATTACGTTATCCAAATATATTTCAAAGGTCAGATTTCCAAAATTGATCGCTCTTGCCTCTTGGGCTCTACTACCATATTCTTGCACCATCAAGTTAGCCTACAAGAGGTTTGACTTTTCATAGCAAATTAGCCATAGTAGAATTAGATAATCAACCTGCTATATTTTCAGATGAGAAAACAAAACTAAACTGGGAGGACACTACAACAGCTGAAGAGTTTCTACCTAGTCTTAAAAACTTCAAAACAAGTGCAGGTACACAACTAGTGTATTCCTGATATCGTTTTGGTAGGGTGAAAGGGGTTTGGAGGGGAACAGGGTTTCATAAGCAAAGGTCCTGTTAACAAGAGATCTTTATATGCCCGACCAATTTAATGGGACTTCACGTACTCCTGAACAATATGCAGACCCTCAGTCTCTTCTCCATAATCCTGCAAAATTATCAGAAGATTGAATAAGATAGAGAAACCCCTTATCTCTTTTGGCAACATATCAGGTTCTATTTATTTCAGCATTTGCAAAAAAAGAAATCTAGTCCAAGTCATTTTTCCTTCAATTATAGGAGGATATGGAACCAAATTATACACATGCTAGAAAAAGATTATGATGCACAGCAGTTCATGGATATACCTTCACAACAACACAGCCGCAGCCAACCACCTTCCTCGCTTTCCCTTCAGAATCAATCTTACACAACTGTAAACAAAGCCCAACAATAAGTTCACAAAAAAAAAGACCGAAAGTTTATATACTCCAATAATTAACATGTCACGTGAAAATGTACATCGAGATGAGTCAAGAAGTTAATTTGTATCTCTCCTGTGCAGCCAACTCCCTTAAAAATGACAATCCATAAATCCAGTGTTTTTTTTTCTGAATGATCGAGAAATTCTAGAGCCTACCCCTCTCCACTAAATAACAGATTTTGTCCACAGCAAGGTTCGAACCTATGGCATGCACCTAACAGACTTGTCCGCGTTGCGCTCTTACCACTAGACAATCAATAGGTAAAAACAATACATATTCCAGGTCATTTTCAAAATCAGAAGGTAACAGTGGTAGACAGTAAAACTGAGAGTCTTATAGCTAAAAAGTAGCAAGTAGCAACCATAAGTAAAACTTACACCAGCCCATTCGCCAAGAGTTTTTGCATTCGGCACCGTAATCAAACTGACATTGTGATCAGCACAGAGTGCTTTGACCAATTTGACATAATCTGGCTGATCACAGTCCTCTGCTAACACACAAAGTTGTGCAGCATGCTTCTCAATCACCTTTGCACCTTCATGAAGTCCCCGAGCTAGGCCTCCATGAGCCTTAGACTTCCTCAGCACCAGCTGCAAAGCAGTCATGATGTCCATGGGCTCTCCAAGTGCTGGAGCAGGAGTCTCGGCAACAGCAACTGCAACAACCTCTCTACAATCGAAGGGAGTATTAAATAGAGAACCTTATGGGTAAGTTAAAGGAAGCGAAAAACTAAAAGAGCAAAATTGATTAAGCAACTAATAACTTTCCAATGTGGCATGACTAATGGAAGAAAAGTAAAAAAAAACAAATGTCCAGTTTCTGCAAAGGCAAGCTGGAAGGGATATCCCTATCCATTAAGTGCTACATTACATGAAACTTTGGAGACAGTTTAACTTAGAATACCAAGTCCAATGTAAGGTTTGCCAGGGAATAAAGATACCTCCCGTGACTTGAAGTTTCAGAATATATGCTGATTTTCAAAATTTATGACTAAACTAAAATATTTACATGACATATAACAATGTCTGATACAGGCTGAGAACAGTAGTGGATCAAGAATTTAAATTTTATGGGTTCAATCTTTAAGCCTTTTAGCATTGAACCCATTATATTTTTAAAGTTATAGGTTCTTATCTACTATTTCTTGCAATTTCAGCAGGTTCAGCTGGTACCGGTACTCTACATCAGCCTCTGGCTGAGAACTATTTTTTTACTTGTTAGTCGAGAACTGTTATCGATGGCTCATTGTACAATTTTCAGAAACAAGGAAAGGAATGCCACTCCATATAAACCAAAGCCTTCGTGGTGAGTCTTTCTACTTGCTGTTTAAGTTTTACATCTACTTAATAAAAAGCTGGAGGGAGATCTCATGATATTCATGTTAAATAAAGAAAGGAACTGATAAAGAGATGCTATGGAAGGATGAAGATGAGGGAGGAGAGCAAAGGAGAATGCAAGAAGAATTTCCCCGAGAGCTGATGACCGTCTCAAGTCATTATCAAGACTTGATAGGTTCCCTAAAACTATAGATTCTCAACAAACTTATCCTACACTGACATACAAATTGCTAACCAACCTAAAAAGACTCCAAGCAAACACAGGACCTAATTTGAGCTTAAAAGAATAATTCAAATAGCACTCTGATACACACACAAAAATAATTGCACACTAAGTTGCAAAAACTACTCGTAAAGCAGATCAAATACTTAAATCAAGTTGTGCACTTCTGAGTTTTCACTTGTGTCTACAAGAACATTTAGAATCAAGTAAACTATAATTTGACAATAAAATTAAGGGAATTAATAAAATTCCACTTACCCTGACATTTTTCGAGCAATATGGTATACCAAAAGATCTGCAACCTGTTCCTCTCAAAGTAAAACACGGAACTTAGTCAGGTAAATAGAATCAATAATAGACTCCATAAACCCTCATCCCAAATATACCGTGCATATCCTGATCCAACATTTGGGTGCCAAATACTACTAATTTTAACAAGGGCTACATCCTTAGTACGCATATATATATTTTAAAAAAAATACCAGTGTCTATAAATCGAAGTGTGAAAATCCCAGAAATAATATTATGCAATGAGTAAAAGATCTAAGTTACGACTTCCCATAAAACAAAAAGAAAAAAGAAACGTAAAAATGCATCTTGAAGTATAAAGATGGTAACTTTTTGCCAAGATTTAGCGATGGTAAAAAAAAGGGTCACCTCAAAGAATGTAGATGTGAAGCGCAGCTATTGGTGAATGGTAACGAGGGGAAGAAGACTATAGGAAAGATTTATATGAGATGACCACTTTGAAGTTTGAACCCTAAAGTAGTGACAGTCTAAATTACTAAACTACCCTTTTCGTAATTTTCTTTTAAAGTCGCATTTTTGGTCCCTCAATTATTGTAAACTAGTAATGAAAATAACGAAGAAATCAAAAGGAATTAAAATGGACAGAAAACACACTAATAAAAATGAAGAGGCATAAGACACACCAAAAACTGAAAAGACAACACATTAAATATAAAATAAAGCCAGATAAAACAACCAAAATACTTAGTTAACTCTTTCAAACTAAAATTTTGACAGTTACTCTATCTCGAGAGATCAAGTAATGTCAAATTTACCACCAAAATTCAGAATAAGACGATGATGAAGTCTGTTGGGACACCATGTTTATCATTCCATACTTCTTCAACAAATAAGAAATGGAAGGAGAAGAGGGACGTATTTGGTGCTAACAAAATGTTGCAACTTAGGCACAAGAAAATTATGCATATCTAACATTCAAAGAAAATAAATTAATAGCCAAAAGCACTAAAGAAAACATATATAACGATGGCATTAAAGCTTACACAAAAAAAAAAAGCTCTCCTTATTATTTTAGACTCGTAATATGATTTCAACAACTTGCTAACTTAAGAAAAATACATTAATAATAACTCACTGTTGCAATTAGTAAATTGGCACAAAAAATACATTAATAATAAAATACCATTAGAGAACGTACACACATGAATGCCTAAAATCTTGATGTGGCTATGACCCAACAAACTCCAAATACCTTTGAGCCAAATTCAGAAACCTCTTATTTTCGGAAGAACAAAGGCGTGATTTTTATTCCCCACTGAAAGCGAAAGCCAAAGCTTAATTGGGTAGTGTCTTCCTGTTGATTGGAATATGTTTATTTCTTGTGTGTTTCAAATGTTTTCGACTTTCATCATAACTGCCATATCAGTTTTATGGTGTTGACGAATATTTTATCTGTATTTAAAGTTGTGCACCAATTAATACAGTTTAATAACATTAACTATAGGGAAGAAGAAAGATAATCAGAATTTGTGGAGACTTTAATGCTTTTTAAAGTAAAATTTTGAATAGGAAAAGACAGTTCAACCACGTGCCACTATAATTTAAATCCAGTAGTTCTAACTGTATATTTCAGCAACTGAAGTGTTGCAACTAATACATTTTTTTGTTGGTAAAAAATATAGATATTTAATGCGTAGAAAAATAACAAAAAAGGCAAAAAATTGACAAAAAAGATGAATGTCTTTCCAAGCCAAAGAGAGGTGTCAAGTCATGACTCTTTGTCCCTCCTTTATATATATATATATATATAGATATAGCTATATATAGATATAGATATATGTGTCTCTTTCTAGGTTTCAATTGATAATTATATTACTTCTTTTAATCTCTTGATTTTTCTTTTGTTTTAGTTTTTTATAACATGGATAATTGTCATTTGACAATCAAAAAATGTAAAAAAAAAAATTAATTGTAGCTCGAAAATAAATCTTTACATACCTTTATCAGATAATATATTAATGTTTGTGCAATAATATCTTATTTAAGTTATTTTTTTCATAATTATTTATGTATATCGTTCAGTAATACTAAACATATTTATTAAAAAATCAAGTACTTACACTTAGTATAATTTTAAAACTAATGTAAAAGTAAACACGAGGAGAACACCTTAGAGTCTTGCACCATTTACAGATCTTGTTAGTTGATCTTAAATTTATATATGTTTCTCTTCAAGAATAAAAGAAAGAGTAATTACCTAGAATCTTGCTGATAATTCATTTGGTTTGGAGCTTTTGTGTCCAAAATCTTGTCTCTCAAGTCTTCTTTGGGTTATAATTTAAATAAGACGTTGTAATTATTTGGTTAAAATTCGTTTCTTTACTTTAAAAACTTAGCCAACGGTAGCGATGGTTCAAAATAAATTACACCTCTTCAATTAATTTTTTTAATAAATAGGGTATTTTAAAAAGGGTAATTTGGTAATTTAACAGTAGCACCTATTGAAACCAAACCAAATAGAAAATAACGGTAGTTACATTAGTGACTAATTATTTGAAGGACACCCCCTTTAAATAAATTTGTTGTTTTATTAATTTAGAAGGGATACAATATTTGTAGTTACTCTATAAAAGAGAACACAACTTTTAGAAGAGGCACTTTAAATTAAATTTTCTTTTCTTTATTTAAATATTATTTAATATTAATTTTAGATATCTAAATAAGATATTTGGGTTATTTAAAAGGGTAATTCAGTAATTAAACTTTAATTTTAATTTTCATCCTTGTATTTGTGATATATAACACGAATTTCTTCGGTTCATTGCTTTTTACTACGCCCAGCATTTGGCCTATCAAGTGGTCCACATCATCAAATGCATTTACATTCTTTGGCTAAGCAAATTTATATAAGAGTTTAAGTCTGTATCTCTGTTGTATTGGTTCATGCTTAATGGTTCTGTGGTTGTATTATCATAGCAATGGAAGAACCATAATATAGGTATCTTGTTATTTGAATTATGCTAATTGTTAAATGTTGAAAATTTCTGGGCTTTATCTTTTCCTCCATCATATTTAAGATTTTTTTTCTGGTAGGTTTCTTTTTTCAGGTGTGTTAGTTTGTTGTGTTAACGGTTAACTTTTATTCTGATTTGAGGATACATATTGATATGCCAGCTTATTGAAGTTATACTTTTTTTTGTTAACTTTGCTAGCCTCTAAAGGGGCTTTGGAGTAATGGTAAAGTTGTATGCGACTTATAGGTCATGGATTTTAGTCACGTAATCAGCCACTGATGCTTGTACGAGGGTAGGTTGCCTACATCACGCCCCTTAGGGTGCGGCCCTTCCCCGGACCCTTTTTTTAACTTTGCTACCCTCTGAAAACTACATGTGGGAATTTGGGAAGGTTTTTATTCGCGACATCAACTTAACCTCTCTTGAAGTGCAACTTAGATAACATAATTTTTTGGTAACTACAAGAACAAATGTATTTCATGGTCTACAAAAATGTTGCAGAATTTTAATGTTAGGGACATGTATTCTTCATTTTGTGTTCAGTGTTCTCTAAGATGGAGAATTTTATTTACCATACTGAAATAAGCATACAAAATTTCCAACTCCCTATGACTAGTGATAAAAATGCACCAAAAGCATTTCAAGTCACTTAGTTGATCTCTGCAGTAGGTTTGTTGCTGAGGGTGATATAAACCTTTTTCAGTTTTTAATAAAACTTTTAGCTCTCCAATATGATATCTTTCTTCTACTGCTGCCTCTGGAAATGTGTGAAGCGAGATCGAGTCTGTAATTCTGCTAAGCCGTACTTTTGGATCTCATAAAATACTCCTTTATCAGTTTTGAGAAGAAAGAATCCTCTCTTTCCAATAGCTTTGCTGGTGAATCATATTCAGCTATTCTTCCTGTTCAAGGACAAGTGAAGGAATTCACACAGTTAGGATCGACAAATTGACAGCTTATTCAATTCAAGAGGATATAAAGACTTTAAATGCATTAAAAATCTTACCTTCATTCAAGACTAAGACAAGATCGCTATTAATGACTGTATGGATCCTGTGTGCTATTGTGATAACTGTTCGATTTCTGAACTCTTGACTGATGATCTTTTGTAACACTGCATCAGTTGCAGCATCAACTGATGCTGTTGCTTCATCTAGAATGAGAATGCTGCTTTTCTTTAGCAAGGCTCGTCCGAGACAGAAAAGTTGCCTTTGACCTACACTCCAGTTTTCTCCGTTTTCAGCCACTGTGAAACTGACCACATTAGTAGCTTTCAATAAGGAAATACGCCATAGCTTTCATCAGAAAAGGCCGTGGCTTAAATTACTACTCCTGGCGGTGTTTGATACTTGTAGTCTAAAACAAATTATAGATATTTGTGTGGCTGTAAATCAATCCATTAAGAGTAAAGTGGAAATTCTAAAGATAAATTGTTTCTAAATAAGGAAAGGTGTCATTCTTTTTGGTAATGACTCAAAAAGGAAAGAGTGTCACATGAATTGGGATGGAAAGAGTATTAATTAAGAAATTTATAGGCTGACCTGAAGATTCTAGCTTTTCTGGCTTTGCACGCATTATATCACCAAGTTGGCATTTGTCCAGAGCCTGAGAAAAGAAGATCACTGTACATTATTCATATCCAAATCACTAATGCTTAAGTTGATTTCAACTTTTTCCTTGACTGGATGATGGAAATTGGTTAAAGTTTACATTCCAATAATTTAGACTTTGCAAAACAAGAACAAGATCAATCAAAGGAGTTAACAAGATACATTTTCTTTTGACTTGTTACCATGCAAAGATGTTGATTTATATGACAATATGTGGATTTAAGTGGACACACTTTTACATAATTATTTTGTTAGAAATAAAGCCCAAAAATCGGAGTACTAGCGTCATGCATCATTATGGATTGTGCATAATTTTTTGTGTAATGTTCAGTGCAATAAGTACCTCCCAGATTTCAGTATCAGAGTGCTGTGCTAGTGGATCTAGGTTTCCTCTAACTGTTCCGTCGAACATTGTTGGATCTTGAGGAATAATACTAAGCCTTGACCTCAAATCATGAAGACCTATCTTGCAAATATCTATATTGTCAATGATAATGCTTCCTTCTCTGGGTTCTACGATCCGGAAAAGGGCTTGAGTGAGGGTTGATTTACCACTTCCTGTCCTGCCCACAACACCAATTTTCTTACTTCCTGGAAATGTGCATGTGATGTTTTTCAAAACAGACGGGAGGTGTTCAGCATATCGTATCTGCAGATATAGGTATTGCAATAATATCAGATGGTGCAAGTTTTAAGCCAATCATGCTAAAAAAAGAAGTAAAGATATCGTGCATCGAAGCAAATCTCATAACTGAGTCTAGTTTTATCTAAAGGCATGTGACTGTTGTCATTACCTGTAAATTTTGGAAGGAAATTGTTCCAGTTTCTGGCCAGGTGCTTGATAGTCTGCAATT